CCTAGGAGAGAAATGGTTTGAGCTACTCTTCCCCCAGTAGTCCAATTTACAATCTAAGTCCACATTCTGGGGCTAGCTGGGATCAGGTGCCAGGGAATATGCTCAGTCTGTACCCACTGCATGTCAATAAGCATCTCTCTTTGTAACTCAGGAATTCACACAGCCTAAAATAGAGAGGAAATGCGGTGGAACTCAAAGACTGAGTGTTGGGATAATGTCCCTTTTTCTGGTTGTGCAAAGAAATTCTATGCAGAGCTTCTCAACTTGGTGACATTCCTAAGGTCTAGAGTCAATCTTCTCAACATCTGATGCTCCCTCCCATTTGAGATGGCTGGACACCCCTTGATCTGCCTGGAAAGCCTGGCCCAGAGGATAAGGAGGCCCAGTGTGGCTGACTGTGGACCTGCCTGCATTTTCTTCCTCCAACCTTCCTCCTACTAATGAGGTCTGGGCAAGATTGCAGCATCTGACTCTCAAAAACCTTTGTAGCCTGCAGATTTTACAGGAAACTAGGTTATTCCTTGTCAGCTCTGTAGATATTCATTTGGGAAGGCACAGAAAAGCTGGGGGGATCCAGGTGGTCAGGATGTTGAGTATTGGATCTGAGTCACAGTTCACACACAGGTGACCATGAGGCATTGATTTCAGATCTGTGGTGGTGCCTTTATCACCTCAGTTGCTAGCCCTGCTGGAAGTCATACTCAGAAGCCATTAAGCCTGCTGACTACAACCCAGATCTAGGGGAGGAAATGAATTAATTACACAAAGTCCTCAAAGCTTATCCAGCTTACTGCTGAACTCCAACAGAATGGCAAGTGGAACATGAGATACCTTGGTTTTAAATTTGAGAAAGGACAGCAGGAGCTGTGGAAGTAGTAGTAGCAGCAGCAGCAGCATTAAAAACAGCTATCATTTATTGAGAAAGAGGAAATGCTGAAGAGAGAAAAATGTGAGTCAGGAATTGGGAGCCATCCTCACAGGTTACAAAATTATGCATCTTTTCCTTATGTTTTTTGCTCTCCCAGGACCAGCCTGGAAAACTTTTACTGATTTCTCACCTGTTGAGCCAACTGTAATACTTAGTGTAAGGAATAGACACAAACTGAGATTGCCATGTATACTTTAAAAAACTAAACCACACACACACACACACACACACACACACACACACACACACACACACACACGGGTGTCCCCATCCAGCTTAGCAAGTCTTCCTCTTCTTGCCTCTAAGTGATTCCTTAGAAACTTCCATATTCTCCATTGTGAAGCTATGAAGTTCCTTTTCCTGCCTCCCCCAACTCTCACAGCCCCTTCCAGAGATCTTTCTGTGGGAAAATAATAAGCTTAGGAAGAAGTTTCCATTGTCTGCTTTCTTGGCATCCCTCTTGTCTTCCGGTATGTTTTTCCTTCACCATGAATTGCTATATATTTTTTGATAACTAACCTTTGCTGGTGTAGAGCTTTGGAAATAGAATTTTAGTGGGAGGTAAACTTGGACCTAGAAAAGGATAAGGAAAAACAATGTATTTTCATTCTTATAGGGTAACAATCTTTCTAAGAGAGTTATCCTTAGAGATTTTACCTGCCTCCTATCACAGAAGTGGAGATATTTGGCACCCCATTTCTCTAGCCTGGGGAGAGAAACAACATGTACATTGTAATACTCTTTAAAAATCAGATTTCTTTTCTTACCCTTTCTCCATCCTCTCACTTGGGTTGGAAAAGGCTTCGCTTCAGGAATCATTCATTCACTGGCCTCTCTCCAGCCTCCTCTTCCCAAACAATCCTGCAGTTGTCTACACATGTATCTTTATCATAACTTCTGGGGCCTTGCTGAAGTGGAGCTAGGTGAACACGTCCTCACGCTTCATTGTCATCCCTCTAATTATTTAATTGGAAATCAAATCCAGGGCAAAGAGCTCCAAATATATGCATAAACTCATTGTTTCATGTGAATTAGATAAAACTATTGACCAAGGTGCACTTTTATAGCACTCTTTAAGGCTGAATAAATGCCTCAAGCCTTCGTTTAGTGTCAGTGAATTCCAGGGAGTAATAATGTAGAGTGATTTCAAAGTAGCTTATGCACTATTTTCACCCATGCATTTCCAGAGAAATAAACATAGCTTATAGATTTTCTTTACCTTCTTTCAATGATGGTCATGTGGACCGTTTATATTACCAAGCAAATATGTACCACTTAGAATACTGGAAAACCTTCAGAATAGGAATTTCTAGCTTCCTCCTACCCATATTTACTTTTTTGTTATGTCAATTATTTAATACATAAGACAAAGCATTGGTTGGATTTATAAAATGTCAGAAATTCTTTTCTTTGGGGATATGTTTTTCTGAAATCAACAGGAGAAATCTAATTAGGGGGCAGAAAGATGAAACTGAGAGAGGAAATGTCATCTGATGGCCAGGTTCTCAATACATCTCTCCCTTCCTTGATAAATCTTAGCTATTTTCTGCTTGAGATTTGGAAGGTCAAGATCCCTTACCCCCAACTTAAGTACCAGAAACACTATTTTATGCCAACTGGAATCTAGGTTTTAGTACCTCAAAGGAGACATAGTCTAAGATATGTCCTTTTTATTTAAGAAAAGAAAGGCCAGGCAAAAGAAAAATGCCTTCCATTTAGAGTTTAAGGTTTTCCAGAATATCCACATCCTGGAATAGATGCTTTTATATTTAGAACATGTAATAGATTTTTTTTTTAATGGCTTGCATGGGCAGATGCTTTTTCTTGGGAAAGGCAAACTTCCTGTTCTCTAAATAACAGCGAAAGAAGGGCCTAAGGAATGTTCTGCTCAGAAGTTTAATGGAATTAGGTTTGAGGACTCTGTTCCCAAACCACTCACACACCTTCCTTCTCTTATCTGACTGTAGTTTCTAAGGGACCACAGCTCCCTTGTGGCTCCTTCTTCATCTTAATTTGCTCTTGTTTGCACCGATGTCTCTTTCTTTATCCTTTTAGTCTCCTCTGATTTCACATAAGTGTCTGGGGACAAGTTTTTCATGCTGTGGGTTATTTTTTAGGTGTTTAAGGCAATTCTTTTGACATTTCTAATCCCCACCCTTTCTTTAAACAAGTGATGGGGCATGAGAGGGAGAGAGAGAGGGTGGGGGGAGATTAATGGAGCATCCAGTCATAAGACAATTGGTGGCTAAATATAATGATTCTCATACATGGACCTGTGAGAACCCTCAGCATGGAGCCTTGGTCATTACACGAGTTGCCCTTAGCCAAACTATTTAAAAGTGTGCACACATGCAGAAAGAGAAATGATAAGTTAAAACATGACAGCAGTTTGAGAAGCTTTTTGAAAAAATCAGTGCCTAAATCGGAAATTAAGGGAGAATTCCCCCCATCACCCCCAAATATATGGGGATTTCCCAACTCTGAACCCCAGCTTAGTCCTAGGCGACAGCTTTCTGATGAGAAGGAATGGGAAGTGATGTGGGGACTGGCCAGGGCCCGGTGAGAAGAGAAGGGAACACAGAGAGAAAGACCAAGGAGAAAAGGACTCACTTGCTGGGAAATTCCTCGCACATTCTTTTATTCTTCTCAGCAAAATCCTTTCCTGGCCTCCTTGGACCGCAGGCGCCGGGAGGAGAGGCGTTCCGGGCCTCGCTGCCTCACTGGGTTCTGGGGGGAGGTCCCAGAACTGCGAGAGAGAATCAAACTAACACCGCGCACCTTTCCCTCTAAAGCGGCTCTTCGCCAACCCCTGTCCACCACCGTGTTCCAACACTGGATAACGCCCAGAATGTTTCCTCTCCTCAAGTCGCGGTCCTGCTTTGCCCACTGTAGCGGGCTACACAGCCGATGTATCTAAAGCTCACAGATTGCCCTCTCCAATGTAATGGTGTGGGGAGAGGGGAGTGCTGAGGGAGTGGGACCCTCTATACCACTCAAAGGCCTTTCTTCCCTTAGGAGCAGAGAGTTGAACTGCGAGAAAGAACCCCAGAATCCCCAGCGAAAAGGCGTGGGGGCCCCTGTGGAACGAGTCAACTTTCAGGCTGTTAAAGACCTCAAGTCATTAGCATCAGCTGCGGCCCTAAGGGGGCCATCCAGCGCCTCTAAGTGGCTTAGCGCACACACCAGCTCCCCAGACGGCCGCGGCCACTCCGCCCGCTCTGCCACCACCGGCTGGACGGGAACATCTCTCCGGCTTACATCTCGGTAATCATTTTT